CTCTTCAGTGGTCAGTCATCACATTAGAAAATGTAAATTTTAGTAGATTTCTAAATATCTTGACGCAGTGAGAGGCAGTCAGATTGCTCCCCTGCACTCCAGGCCATTTAAAAACGTTCCTGCAACCTAATATAATTATTTTGCCAATAAGTAAGCGGGGGCACACACAATTCTGCCATTAGAGGTTGCTTGTCATTGACTGCTGGGAGGACGGAGTACTTGACTGGATACTTCTGTATTAGCACTTCACCTGTTCTCCCACGATGAGTTGTGTTAAATTGAAGATGTTGCTTGATTCCCTATAAATTTCAAGAGAAAACACTAGGAAAAAAATAAAAGCCAAAAAGCTTTTTGACTTTTTGTAACGTGTATTGTATGTCCTAAGGAATGCTTTCTGCCGAGTCCTTTCCTCGCTGCCCTACAGTGCCTTTGAATGCAGGTGAAGCGTGTGACTACAGATCTTCTATAGAAGTCATGCATATTCATTTTGCGTTCTGTAGTTACCCATGCAAATAACTTCAGTTCTCCTCTTCCTTACAAGCCTCCTATGCACCTCACATCTGCCTTTTACTGGTGGGTTCGCATTTTCCCAAGTGGAGTCTGGCATGTGGGGTGTGCCAGCCAGTTCATGGGATGCCGAACATCTTCATTCGCATCATCTTGTCGTCACTGTCAAAACACAAAGCTAGTGAAAAAGAAAGAGAAGCTCTCCAGTGGCTCAGTGCAGCTCTTCTCCCTGACACTTCCCATTTGGCTCATTAATGTACCTAGGATGCTTTCTGGTCCATCCGGTAGCAACAGGAGCCAACCTGTAGTCTCCAGCATGTGTTAAGGTTGCTAGGCTGCTGTTTCATTTGCCGAGTTACGTAGTTATTTGCTGATAGTTTGATTACTCGACTTCTTTGAGCTGAAAACAAACATTGCTAAGGGTAAAAGCTATATAAACATCCCCATTTGCTCTTAAAAAACAATTTTTTTGATCATTTTGGGTTTGGAGTTCAAAATGTTATTTAAATGTTAATCACTTGAAACTGTGCTTGGGCACATAATTCAATTATGGGACCATCTTAATTATGCAGATGGTGCTTATGAGCAGCTGATACAATTACAGTGCCAATTCAGTACACATTCGTTCAAAGGGCTTAGCTGAAACACGTTATTATTTCAATGTGTGTGGACAAATTCACTTTTTCAGGAAATGGGTTCATGGAATTGTAATACTGCCCTACTCTGCTTATTGCTTTCAATGGCGTGTAAACCACAAGGTCTTTAACTACTCTCCTGTGTTCTGTGGTGGTCCTGGGCTTGCAGGAGATTTCTTCATGTTTTTAACATATCCAGAGGGATGAAAATGGAGACTTCAGTTAATAATCCATCATTCCTCTGGGTAGCAGGCAGTTTTATTTCTTCTTGAATTGTTAACCCCCTGCACCACATCTGGAGGCCGTGTGTAAATCTCATCCAATCAAGCTGATAACAAAATTGGAAAATTAGTGGAATTTACTTTTACCATAAATTGGTGCAAAAGGAACACCATGTAATTCTTGTTAAACAAGACCCAACTTTCAATATTATCCCTTCTTTTGGGATGAGTCCAATGAAAAGGAATGCTCAGTATGTTTTACAGCATGGTTTGGTGTTTAAGGAAGGTCAGTGTTTCTGCTTCCTAGAATATGTTTTTCTCATCTGCCTTTGTGTTAGTTTTTTTTAAAAAAATAATCTTGTAATCACTTTTAACTCTGTGTGAGGCCAGCCTTGTATACCTAATATATAATTAGATGCCATTGGGGGGCCTGTGATGGTGAGGAAGATTAAGCAAAGAATTGTAATTTATACAGGGAAATATCCGTAGAGGGGATGTTTTAAAATAACCAAGAGTTTTGAAAGGAATTTAAAGCTTAATGCTTCTGGCCAAAAGTCATCCTCTAACTCACAGCAACTAGGAGGATAAAAAATTTAGAGATGATTTATTCTGCTTTCTGAGTTTTTCAATTCCCACCCCAACCTTTTCTTACTGATTCTTATCAGAAATAGGACATTAATCAATCTCATGATCCACCGAGTATGGCCACATCTGTATTACTGTTGAGTGCACGATCTGTCCTCTTTAGGTACTGCTCATATATTGCATAGATGATATACAAAATAGGTGTTGTCACCTCAGAAAAGCTGTGTAGTACCCGAATTCCCACTTCTAAACAATCTGCACAAGCACTTTCCTCTTCCAAATTACTTTCTCTGATGCTTAAAGGAGAGAGCGTGCCTCTGTATTTGTGGTCGTGTATAGGATCAGTTTCTCTCATTTTTGGTATTTGGCTCTCACAGAAATGTCACAGATTGTATCACTGTGAATTTAGTCACTGACAGTTCATGCCAGCAAAACTTGTCACATTGCAAATTCTGATTTCCAGCATTGGGTTTATTCATGTTTTGTTGAAACTAATCAGAGAATGAATTCAAATCCTGTGAATTCACTGCAGTCCTAGGTCAGCTTTGCTCTGAGGGTTAATTAAATAGGATCAATGATGGTTAGACTTCAAGCCCACTCTTCGCACAGGAGTGAATAGCATCTGCACAGTGCAGCTCTGCTATTCGTGCACTTCCTAAGCATCACAACAAGACATGCTGGTTGTCCACATGTACGAGTACAACTGCAGTTCAGTTGCAAATTCTCTTAATACTGAGATTATTTTCATTTTTGCTTTACGCTTTGTTACAAGTACTGCTTGCAACATCAAATACTACTGTAATGTAGGAAAAATATGCCATCTAACAAAATAAATCAAAGTACATCCTTGCTTTCAGTTTTCTTCCTGGGTAACTTAGGTGTCGAGTCTCCGTCATGGAACAACCGATTTAAGCTCATGTGCATTACCTAAAAACAATGTGGGACCATTACACAAGGACATCGGGTAGAAATTTGTAATGCCCAAGTGCATGTCAGGATATTGGTCAGAACTCGGTAGCTCATTCTGCCTTCTCATGATTTGCTTACCTGTTCTTAATGGGAAAGATAATGTATAAGCTTGAAAGAGACATGTATAATGCACAAGAACCGAGAGAGAAGATTGCTTTGTCTTACACATACGGATGGCTGTAAGAAACAAGTAGTAAGAGATGACATTGATGTTTGCTCTTGGAGCAAAATCTCAGAAATGGAATGCATGGGAGGGGCTGTTCGCGTAGCCTAATATGACAATTACCATGTTACTTCTGGTGGAGTCAACAGGGGTGTGGATTAGGTGTCACATAATTACCAGTCACAGAAATACAGGTTACAGAGGGGTCATACTAGTGCTGCTTATGATTTCATAAAATTGTTAGCTATTAGTTCATGCAAAAATATAACCTCACCCATCTTTGCCTTCTATGGGTCTCTTTTCTTATCCGCTGTCAAACGTCTTTTTCCACAACACATGAAGAAGAAAAATCAGGTAAATTGATGCTGACTTTTCTTTTGGATAGAAAAGGAAGTTCTGCTCTGATGCCCTCTCGTTCCAAAACACTGCATCCCTGTCCTCCTTGGGAAAAGGACTCTATTCGAGTATGTGTCCATCTTTTAGGAATCCCAGTTACTGTACCCATTTACTGCAGGACCGAGGCTCTGCCAAAACAATGGTAGGAGCAGAAAACTGTAATGAGTGTACAATGTTCCAAAGGTTTCAGCAGTGCAAAGGCAGGGTGCTGTGCAGAGGAAACACCTTCTGAAGTTATTTTTTGCAGCAAAAGGAAGAAAAAAAAAAAAGAGGAAAAGAAAAGCATCTTGTGCAGCTAACAAGCATTCATTTCTTCCTTGATAGGTTGCCCTGTTGTCTGTCATGGTGGATGTGCATTTTGTTGTCATTTTCTGCCTATTTTCTTTCTAAGTGTAAAACACTGCATATGCAGGTGACAGTGATGATTAAGTGTTCTCGTGTTTGTCTCAGGGAGTTCCAGCTTCTTGTTGGGATTGTATATACTTGTTATAGGTGGTAGGACTCTGGCTGGATAATCCAAGAGAATTTGCACAAGTCCTGTTGAAGGTTTTCTGGCTGAACTGATTCGTTCTGCCGATAGGCTGCTGTGTAGATGCACAAAATATATTTTTAAAAAAAAAAATTAAAAAAATTTACAAAGTATGTAAATGGGCTTTGTGCTGCTCTTCCATAACTAGAGGAATCTGGTGTAACTGGAATGGAGGAAGTTCCAAGGGCTGTTGGGCAATGGAGGCTGGAAAGGACCTCAGGGGGGCAGTAGCCGATGAGATTGGAGAACGCTTGCTCAAAGCAGAGCCATTGCATTAGGTCAGAACTGGTGGACCATGGCTTTGTTTGTTATCAACTTGAAAACCTCCAACAACAGAGACTGCACAACTCCTCTGAGCAACCTTTTCCACTGCTTGACTATCAGAGAATCATAGAGTGGTTTCCTTCAGTACGAAGTGAGCTTGCGTTTCCGTATTAGTCCAGACCCTACATTGTCTCTTGTATTAGAGGAGAATCCTGTTTTCTTTCCTTCTGTGATCAAGTTAACCCAGCACTGCTTATCAAAAGATGTCAAACTTCCAGAATTTCAGTTAGACTTAGGGCAGCTGCTGGTAGAGAATATTGCAAAGAAAAGGTTCTTCTCACTGTGGACTTTGTGTGTGAGTGTGTGCCAGGTGCAATAGCAAGGTGGGGAGCATTTGCCATTTCTGTTTATAGTAAACCGAAGTCTTATTTAAAGATTTGTGTATAATTTTGAACAAAGGAGGGGTGGGGCTGGGCATACAAAAAAAACCCCAAACTTCTATTTATTTTAAGTTAGCAAGCACTGTGCTATGTCTGTATATTCCCCAGCTATGACAGTATTAATGACTGGGTTTTTTCACCGTTTTAATGTAACAGGCAAATGAAGACCATTACATGTGGGTTGGCTGTAGTGACTGGGTTAATATTTTTTAGATTTAACCCCAAAGTTCAGTCTATTTTTATTTGATTATTACAAGATTAATGAATTATAAACCTTTCATCTGTTTTCAGGCTTCTCAATGCCAATAAGATCAACTGCCTGAGGGTAAACACGTTCCAAGGTCTGCATAATCTCAAACTGCTATCTCTTTATGACAACAAACTGCAGACCATCAGCAAGGGGCTTTTTGCACCTCTCCGATCGATCCAGACGCTGTGAGTATGCAGGCATATCATGAATGACAGCTCTCTCTCTTTTTCCCCCAAAGATGTTGCCTGTCTTGGCAAAGGCTTTGCATCTGACATCAAGACAATTTGGAAGAAACCCCAAGGTAGTAGCCCCTCCTTTTCTAACAGAAAGAAAAGGAGAAAAAAAGGGAAGTATTGCATAAATTCAGCACAGCCAGCTATCGATACAGCCTGCCCATAGTGACATCAGTGTCATAAGCGCATTACGCTCCCACAGTAATTCATTCATACTGTTTGTTGGGAAGATAATACGTAAATTAGACTCTGTACGGTGTATGAACAGCAGATTCTGTTCCAAACCATCACTGCCTAACAGTTTTTAATTATATGGTGAATTGGCATCTCTCCTTGGTGGGTCAGAGTCCTGCTTCTGAAACCATATTTCAGCTGACATTCCACCTAAAGGAAATGTTACGTTGTATTACTTGATCCATTAAGAAAGTCCACTGAACATTTTCTCAGAGTCTTTGAACTGGAGGCATTAGGAGAAGAGGGATCAGAAGAAAAATTGGAACCAAACATATAGAAATATAGGCTCGCTATTTGACAGAAATAGGTTTTATCCTAAGGCTGTGAACAGTAAGATTGTAAGGTGAATAGTAGTCCTTCAGAGCTGGATTTGACAAGTTATACAACAGACAACACCCCTGTGGTATAAAAATTTCTCCTTGGTTTCCGTGAGGTTTTATTGGTACTCGTGGTGGCCGTTACTTAGAACGGACTTGTTGCTTCACAACGAGACACTTTTTCATGAAATGTTTTGATTCATTCTCCCATTTTTAGTACTCCAAGTGATTGCCATTTTCTGACTTTTTCCTGGAGCTACAAGACTGGTACCATCTCCTGTCTCTGTATGCTTGCTTCTTCTTTAGACTTTTCACACCAGGAAAAGCTCTGCTCAGCAGGACTCTTCAGGCACTTTCTGCTATATGTGTGATTTTACTTGCCACTCCTTGACAGCCCTTGCCCTGTTGCATTTTATACTTACTCTGTTAAGTGAAAGTTCGTAAATATAACTGCAAACAGAAAAAAAGTGTCTACAGGTGGAAGAAACCCACTAACAGTAACAGAGTTCTTGTGAGGCTGTAACTTCACACCTCTGCCCAAACCAAATTTAACTTTCTGCTATATGTGTGATTTTACTTGCCACTCCTTGACAGCCCTTGCCCTGTTGCATTTTATACTTACTCTGTTAAGTGAAAGTTCGTAAATATAACTGCAAACAGAAAAAAAGTGTCTACAGGTGGAAGAAACCCACTAACAGTAACAGAGTTCTTGTGAGGCTGTAACTTCACACCTCTGCCCAAACCAAATTTAAACACCTGTCTTTTTTCACACTGTCTTTGCAGTTGTTGGAGAACCTTGTCCTGCTCCACTGGAAGTTAGAGGGGCTGGTGCAAGTTAACTGAGGTCATAATCAGGTTCTGAGAAAGACCTTACTGACTCTCCTGATACAGTGCTCAACCTTGTCAAGCAAAATGAGTCGTAACAGCAGCAGAGAAATGCTGTTTCTCTCTAAGATACCCCAGCAGATTTCTGTTAAGCCTAAATATCCAGTTAAAATCAATGCTATAATACCTATTTCCAATTGTGTGGGAAATAATGTTGTTCAAATTTTGGTAAAGGATTGAGTCAAGTTCTAACTTGCATAAATAGCTCAGTCTCAAAAGTAAACAATTTTGGCCCATGAGAAAATATATATACTATTACACCGATAAGTATACGCACATAACAATTTCACTCTTGAGAGAAGACCACCAGACCAGTTCTGGCCTTGCCCACTTATCCAAGGCACTTCACCAATTCCCATTTTCATCCCTAGGAAACTGAGTTTGCCAATAAAATTTCTTTTAAGCCAGGATACAAAATGATCTTCAGGTCAGGTGCATATAAAAGATGCATTTCTCTCAAAAGGCAGCATATCAAGCTCTCTGGAGAAAACAATGGACTTTGTAGACAGGAGGCCTGTGTCCTCTAAAGCAGGCTTTGCTACCTTAATTTTTGTTCCCTCTGTGAAAGGACTTGCAGCAGGCTTAATGAGCTACGAAATGTGATAGCTCACAGAATTCTCCCATTCATGTGCAGCTCTGTGTGGTTTCCGCCAGGCCTGGGTTTTTGGAAGCTTATTCAATTACTCTACTCTTCAGGTTTGCGTTTGTGAAAAACAGTGATGGAGTACAGTGTCACAGGTCACTTCTGATTAAACATCCCATCCTTCTCGCAGACATTTAGCTCAGAATCCATTTGTGTGCGACTGCCATTTGAAGTGGCTGGCTGATTACCTGCAGGATAATCCGATAGAAACCAGCGGCGCTCGATGCAGCAATCCGCGTCGCCTTGCCAACAAACGAATCAGCCAGATCAAGAGCAAGAAGTTCCGCTGCTCAGGTAATTCATTTATCCAGGCTGTACTGCGCTTTCAATTCAGAAATAAGCAGGTCCAGAGAGCCTACTAATCGAATATGCAGGACAGTGTTTGCTATAATGGATATTATGGAGCATCTTTTAAAATTAAATTTGGAAAATTCAGTTAGTTCTCCAGAAAGCCAATTACCTTATGGATTAAAAAAAAAAAAAAAAGAAATAAAAAGAAAAAAAAGAAACCAAGGGGGCAGTCTATAGCTGTCTTCTGTGTGTCTCTTAAATGCAAAGAAAAGAAACAAGATAAAAGCTTGTGACGTTGAATTTTAAAGAATTACTAGGTTGTAAATTGTCTAAGGGAAGCCATGAAGGTGTATGTGAGTCCATGTGTCAAATATAGTATTCTGAAGGGGTGCAAGGTAGATGGTTCATCATCTGTATTCAGGGAGAACTCCTCATTGACCTTAATGAGAGCTGATCTGCAGTAAGTTCTCAGACGTAAAAGGCTGAGAACAGCGTGAGTGAGACTTTTTTACAGCTGGCAATGGGCATTTCTGACCTGGGATGTGAGTGAAGCTGGGGCTGAGGGGTTGGCATCGATTTGCATACTTTCTTAGATTTATTTGTTTTATATCCACCAGTAACTTGCATTAATTGAAGTAAAACTGCCATTCCGGTTGGTAAGATTTGTGGTTGTGTAAGTTTTGAATCAAAACTTGGATCATAGTTTAGGCAAAGATTTTGTGTTGTGAGCTGGATAGGAAAATGCTTCCACATGAAAATAACCACTGAATTAACACAAACACCTTTTTCTCAACCCTGTCTGTTCTTTGTTCATGGTCCAGCTATCAGTAAAAGGACATTTATTGCCTTATGCAGCACAGCTAAGCAGACTGCTTCTTCGTGTGTTTTTCCTGTTGCTTATATGTATTTTAGATTACTGCATTTTTGTATACTGTAAAGGCAAACAGGTTTCAGTGAGCAAATCTGTTGGTGTGTACTGAGAAGAAAAAGGACTGCTACTGATGGAGTACCTTGCAGTGCTTTCTATAAAAATTACTATGATTTTTGTCTTTTTCCTCTGTCAAAAAAACCCCAAACCAAAACCATGATTAATTGTGTTCCTGGTGGTAAAAGATTAATGACTCTAGATGGGGATGCAGCACAAAACTGAATGGCAGCAGCCCAAAACAAGCTGTTGTGCTTTGTGTATCTCTGCGAGCAATATGCTGAGCTAAACCTTCTCTTTATGGGGAAAATAAAATAAAGATAACTTCATTTGCAGTCAGGTTTTCTTGGGCAGGTTTGTTAAAGTCTTCAATCACTTGAGACTCAAGCCACAAAATTTATAACCATAGCTGAAAATATGACATACTTTTATCTAGGTTTTTGGATTGTGTCCATCATAGTAACAAGATAATTAGTCAGTAATATTCATATTTAAAGAAATTGGATATGAAAATGCATAAATATAATTTAGAAAGTAGACGGCAGAAACAGATCAATATAAATCTGTACCCAATTTGCCATTGTTATTTTCTGCTTTTAGTAATAGACTATAGAGAAATTAATGTGATGTATGTGCATGCATATCTTGAACCATGGCGTGGGCTATTGGATAAGGCAAACACCATCTGATATCATTTATGAAAGGTCATAGCTGAGAAGAGCAACAATGCAGAACACAGTACCTGGTGATGTCGAGAATAATATTTTGTGAGAGTTCCTGTCTTGGGGGTCCTTTCCTTGAGGCATTAGGCTGTTTTTCCCTTGGTCTCCAGTTCTACGAGTATATCAAAACCACATGGAAAAAGCATAAACCTGACTTAGGAAGGAGGAGAGCAGGGATTGTGCAGTTTCAGAACAAAGATTTCAGCTGGATGAAAACTAATGCTGTTCAAAAGCTCAGTAGAGAAGATATCCTTGCCTGTGGAGTTTCCAGATGGCGATGAGATACACTGAACTCGATTCACTGTCTGCTCACATGAGACAGGGAGAACGTCTAATGGTTCAGAAGAATCTTAGTTTGTAAATCAATCCAGAGAACACACATCCTTGGCACCTGTTCTGCTCGACTCGTGCCTTTGAATCATGGCTGCATCAGGCTTGGCATTTAGCAGCAATTTTCCATGTTTTCATTTTGAGGAATATGCTCCATCTGAGGTTTTAACCCAGCACGTCTCTGTGCAGAAGAGTCCATGAGGTATGAATCCTAATCATTCAAAGTCAGACTATTGAGCAGTGCTTTGTGTTATCCAGGGATGAGCCTGCACAATCCTGCTGGGATGGCAATGCTTAGTAACTCGTCAGTGTCTTTGCTGGCTGTGGGATTCTCCCTGTCTAGTTTTTACATCTTTTGCTCAGTGTATAAGAATAGAATTTTATTTTAAATCCTTCTGTAAATGTGCATCTCTTCGTTCAAAGGGTTCTTGTTCAGGATCCCGATATTTTCATGTTGTGTGTTTAATACATTTAGCACATGTCTGTGGTCAGAAAGATGGTCGTCTGGGGGAAACCCCAGTGAATATGAAGGGTTGGTAAAGGAAGCAACATGAGGGATTTTTTCCTGACCTGGTCTTTGACCTTTGAGAAGTGATGATGCACAGAAAGTGTGAGCTCTGTGGGAGCAGAGGTACTCTGCCACTGTCAGGATTACACCCATGATTAGTTAAGCTTAGCTGAGTTTACTGTTTTGACATCAGGGAAAGGCCCAGTTCTGAAGTCATAAAGTTCTGAGGCTGTGTTGGAGCAGTCTATGTGTTTTCCACATTCATTTGGATTCTACGAAGTATCATAAAGGGGATTGTCAGGAAGGACCTAGCATGAGAAAAAATTGTGATTGTGCAGTGAATTAAAAAAAGAAAGGGAAGCACTTTTTGTACGAGGAGAGGAGAGAGGAGCAGTTAGCAGGAGTGGGGAAGAAGAGCTGAGATGTTTGAAATTTCATCTGTTTGAAATGGTAGAGGAACATCAAGAAAATGTCAAGAGAACACTTAGAGATGCAGATGGGCTAAATAGAACTGTATTTGATTAATTAAATGAAATTGTGAGGACAGAACTATGCAGCATAGTAACAACAAAATAAACTTTAAAAATCTAGGAGATTTTGTTCTGCATATTGTTTCCTTCCATTTTTATTCCAGCTCCCCACTGTCCTTTTAGATAGTATTTAAGAAGAACAACTTGCCTTCTTTAATTCAGCATCAAGGCACTTTTCCCAGCTGCTATTTCCTCTCTGAACCAAATGGCTCAAGCTTTTACTGATAATGATGGAGCAACATCTGCAAACATTAAGAGTGGCCACAGGAAGGAGTTTCTGTGTAACCGGTAGATAACGTACATAATTCTTTTGAGAAGGAGAATTGGAAGCATTATAGCATGAAATGAAGGAACAGTAGGGATGTTTTTGCCCGGGGCTGTGAGACAAGCAAAGCTGTTGAATATACTATCGAAGATGTTTAAGCCTCAGATTGGAATAAATAGTATTTCCCATGTTTTTCTGCCTTCCATCTAATGCTGTGCACTAGAATAATAATAAACCTCCCCCTTGCTCAACTCTGTCCCCACAGTTACAGAATCTGACACTAAAAAGGGTGTTTCTTGAAAGAGAAATTGAAGGAACAGACGGTGACTAATTCTCTCTCCTCGGCTTAGAAAAGGGAAATACTGTCATTTTCTGTGGCAACAATAAAATTCTCATGATTGTTTTCTTTTTGGCTGCATCTGCCCACTGTGACCACCTAAGGATCCCCTGGTACTTGCCAGCCTGGGGTCACTGGAAGCTCCCATTCTTAATAGGAACAGGGGGGAAAAAGAACAGCAAAATTTTCTGTCTGGTAGCATTTGATTAAGTTCACTGCACAGCAGTTTTGTTTTCTAAAGGCTCGAGGAGGGAGAGGAATGAATCTGAGCAGATTGTGTTGTTTCTGTGGTAGCTTATTGCCGCTTCAGGAGTTGGCAGGATCCTTGGTTGCTGTGTGACACTGTGTATGAAATAGCTTTGGCAGAGAGCTGTCCCTATATTCAGCTGTACATCTTTTTTTCCCCTGTGATGTTTGCGTTTTTCAGTATATTGTGTATTTCAAAAGCGATGAAAGCTCCGCCTGCCGTAGCCACACAAACCATTTCTGATAATGATCAAAGTGTATGTCTATCTACAAGCATCACGCCAGCCACCAAAGGTTTTTACCTTCTAATTCTTAGAAATAAGATTCTTAGAAATAAGATTCTTAGAAATAAGATTCTTAGAAATAATCTTATTTCTAAGATTACTATTTGAAATACTATGAACTGAACCTGTCTTCCTGCTTCCTCTTGCATTGGGCCATACATCCTGTCTAGCTGACTTTAATTAGTTGCTTCAGTTCCAGTTAGTGCTGTACAAATCAAAAGCACAGGGAATAACAGGAGAAGGACAACCTGCCCCTACAATTTTCTCCTTTTTGGACACTGTCTCTTGGAAACTCAGCCCAGATCAAAGTCAGCCTCTGTGGTACGTATGGATCCAGAGCTTGCAGGTTTAGGGCTAGTTTCATCTGTCTTGTGTTATCCCTTGTTATTAGAGAGTAATGTAGTTGCTGTTTGTTCAGTCATAATTTTCAAGGATATTTGATGAAACTTCTTCTTACTAATTGCGGTTTTCCTCCCAATTCTTTATGTGTCTTTTCCGGTCTTTGCCTTTGTACATATTCACCTTTCTTGGGTTACCTGTCTCCTGTGGAAGAGTTCCTATTGCTGTGATCCCCTGAAATCTCCTTTTATCTTCTGTGCGTTGTTTCAGCCTTAGAAGCACAGCACTGCAACAGAGAGGGTGTTCCCAGCCAGAGAACCCAGGCTGCACATCAGCCCTTTTTGTCCAGTCCCTAAGACAGTTCACACGTTTCCTGTCCTTTGGTCTCCCTACGTTATCCCCTTCTCTCCTCTCAGTGGCATGTAAACAGTATTTAAGCTCCTTGAGCTCTCAAAATAAAAGGTGCAGTATATTGTTATTCCTCAACCAGTGTTGGAACACGTTCAGTTGTTCCCAT